TTCCCTTGTACTTGGAGGCGGTCACGTGACCGGGTTCTGGCCAATAGCATGTGATGTTTGCTGCTTCCTCCTGACACCTGCTCCCCAATCCTCCTCTAGGTTTCTGTCTCTTCTGTCATCTACCTGCCAGATGCAGAGGAGGGAGCCAGCAGAGGCTCCGGGGGACTGCAGAGCCACAGCTGAAAGGAGCTTGGGTCCCCGAATCACTACGGGGAAGGGGCCACATCAAATGCCCCCACCGATGTGTTAAGTGAGGGAGAAATACAGTAAATGGTAGGGAGCCACAGAAGTTCCGGGCCTTTTGCTCCAGCAGCTGGCTTACTCTACCCCAACAGATGCACTACACCACCTGCAGTTCCCTCCCCTCCCCGGGGTCCAGGGAACGGGGGTGACTTCTATCCAAGTCCCTAGCGAGGTGTCTGATCCATAATGGACACCGGGGACACACAGGCGGAAGTGAGGTCAGAGACGTGAGGGTGGAGGACATAACTGGTTTTCGGGGAATGACATCATCTCCAGCCTCAAGGGCATTCAAGAACTCTATGTGGGGGGGGGGGGGGGGGAACCACTGTGTTTCTCCGAAAATAAGACATCCTCCAAACATAAGACCTAGCGCATGGAAAGATAAGACATCCCCTGTAATAAGACCTAGCGCAACTTTAGGAGAAACAGTTTTATAAGACACTGTCTTATTTTCGGGGAAACAGGGTAGGCAGTCTGTCCATCAAAAACAGAGCACGTATTCCGCTTGCAATGCCCAAGTTTACAGAGATTACTGAACCGGGGCGGCCTTCAAGTGCCTTCTGAGCCATCCCAGGAGGCCTCAGCTCCACCTGCGTCACGTTAACACGATGTAGCTTCATTCTGCGTCATTTCCAGTCCCGTCTGTGGGAAACGGGGAGCCCAGACGGGTAACATCTGGAAAACTCAGCCTAAGCATTCACAGCCCCGGTATTCAGAAGGGCCAGGACACGGAAGCAAGGATGTCCACTGACTGAAGAACGGGCAACACACGTGGTCTCTCCGTGCGAGGGAAGATCACCCGGCAAGAGACAAACCGCCCTGACATGTGCTACGTGTGGGGGAGCCCTGCGAACAGCATGCAAGGAGCCGGTCACGGAAGCCCACGTGACGTGTGACTCCATGGCTCTCAAATGTCCGGGATGGCAGGTCCTCCCAGACAGAAAGTACACAGGGGTGGCCAGGGGCTGGGGGGTGTTGGAAATTGGGGGCGATGGGTAAGACAACGGGATTTTTTTTTTATTTTTGAGTAATAATGTGCATAAGCGGATTGTGATGGTGATGGCTGCACAACTCCTCAAACACTGAAAACCACTGTACTCCTCCCTTAAAAGAGGTCGCTGTCACCCAGATAGACGGACGGCGGGGGGTGGCTCCCCGAGTTCCCAGCAACCCCTGGCACACGGACAGCGCCATGCCTCTGTGCACCGCATTCTAGAACCTTCCAGTCTGTGGCAAGAGTTCTTCCCAGAACAGCTCTGGGAAGGCCCAGCCAGAGAGAGGCAGCGGGCTCCCTGCCCCGGCCCTTCCCAGCCCCCCTCCCCCTCCCGGGGCGGGGGAGGCCCGCAGGGACGTACGGTTCATGCCGATGTCGTGGTAGGTGAGGATGACGGGCCGGCTGCCCCGGGGGGTGCCGCACAGCGTGACGTGGATGGAGCCATGCAGCGTCTCGACGTCCTGTTCCTGCGGAGAGACGGCAGGCGGAGGGGCCGTCACGGGGGGCGTGCGGGCCGGCGTGGCTCACACCTGCTGGGACCCCAGCGTCCCCCCGGCCTGGAAAATTTTTTGGCAAAAATCGAGATTTTTTTAAAATGCCACGGGATGCGGGGAAAATTGTTAAAAATCGGAAAAGTCCCGCCAAAAGCGGGACAATCTGGTCACCTTCCATGGGGAAAGAAGGAAGGAGAGGTAGGGAGGGAGGAAAGGAGGGAGGGAGGGAGGGAGGGAGGGAGGGAGGGAGGGAGGGAGGGAGGGAGGGAGGGAGGGAGGGAGGGAAGGAGGGAGGGAGGGAGGGAGGGGATTAATCCCAATTCCCAGGCTCCCCCTCCAGAGCAGGAAAGGACATCACCTCTCTTTGCAACAAGAACCCACTTCCTGTCAAGCCCCAGGCAGAGTGACGGGGGTCCCCTGGCCCACCCTGTGAGGCCCCACGGCGGCAGGCCTGACGCCGGTGTAGGGGGCACCTCTCCCCGCAGCCCTTGCCTTTGGGAAATGGGCCTCACGGAGCCTCACGGTGAGACAGGTGAAGCCTGCGTGCTTCTGACCTGATGCTGATGAGGGTAAACGGGGCTCAGCCTGGGGAACCCCAGCTCCCCAGCCCAGGGGTGCTCCTGGGCCACTGAGCACGGAGCCTGGCGACGCCCTGACCCCCCCACCATCCCCCTCCATGCCCAGCCCTGCGCTCCTGCAGTGGAAACATTGGAAAAACCCTAAGGCAATGGCCCAGCCCCAGGGGGGGCCTGGATCATCTGCCAGCTCAGCCGGGCCCTGGAGCTGCTGCAGGAACAATGGTCCATTGTGGGGGCCACTCTCCCCAGTGACCCCCAGGGCGCCCTCTGAAAACAGGCCTGGCCAGGGAGCACCCCCACCAGCCTGGGACACCAGGGTTCAAACCCAAGCACCACCCTTCCCCAGCACGGAGCCCCTGGTCTGCACCTGCACCAGGACAGTAATGGCCGGGCACCTCCCGCTGGGCAGGGAAGGCCTGAGACAAGGAGTGGCATGCAAATACTCACTGGCTCCCTCCCTCCCTCCTCCGGGCCCTTCCACAAACCTCCGCGCCTGGAGCACAGGGGAAGGGCTGAGTCATGAAGCACCTGCCAGCTCAGGGGATGCTCGGATTCTAGGATTCCAGCTTAAGAAAACAAGCTGGAACCCAAAACTCCCACCTACTCCCCTCAGCTCGTTTGCAAACACAACGGCCCCGGAACCTGACGCCAGACTGTCTCCACAAACCAGATCACAGAGTCCTCCCTGCAGCCACCGTGCCCGCCTCCCAGGGCTCCGGGGCCTCCCCAGGGGCCAAGGCAGGGTCCTGGGGGCAACTAGCAGAACTCATGCGCCCGGGCACCCAGCGATTTGCTTTAAAACGTCACCCGGGCCAAAACAACAGCCCGCCCACCGGGATGCCCGCCGGGAGAGAGAAGCGGAGAGGCCCTCTGCTCTGGCGGCTGCGGCTGCGCGGTCCCCCGGGGCAGGCCACCCCGCCACCGGGCGCGGACCCTCCCCTGGCGTCTCTGCCGCTGGGCTGATGGCTATGCCAGTGGTCGGCAAACTCATTATCAACAGCACAACGATTGAAATTTCTTTGGAGAGCCGAAAACCGACTTCTGCGAGTGAGCCACGAAGTTTCAGTTGCACTGTACGTGCGCACCCACACGTGGTATTTTGTGAAGGTGACCAGATGTCCTGCTTTTGGCGGGACAAGTCCCGATTTTTAACAATTTGTCCCGCGTCCCACGGCGTCTTAAAAAAGTCCCGATTTAAAACGCCGTGGGACGCGGGACAAATTGTTAAAAATCGCGACGTCTGGTCGCCTTAACAAAATACCACCTTATATTTTGTGGAAAAGCCACACTCAAGGGGCCAAAGAGCCGTATGTGGCTCGAGAGCCACAGTTTGCCAACCACTGGGCTATGCTGCCTGTTCTGAGTCACGTGCATACCCATCCTTGACCGCTTCGGGGAAGCAAGGACAAGTCAGCCTGAGTCGGCACCAACTATTTTCCAAGAAGCAACGCTGGCTGCTCAGACACACGCAGTGTGGCCGCTCTGACCCCTACACTGGACTCCCAAGGACCCGGCCAGACGGGGCGTCTCCCGGGGCCGGGAGAACAGATGTGAGCGGGTCCCCAGGGGGCATCTGGACTCGAGTTCCACGCCGGCTCCCCCTCCGAGTCCTGGGCAGGTGGCCCGCCTGGGCAGAGGGGTTTGATGGCAAGAGCAGAGGTGAGCGGAGTCCGTCCCGGGGAGAAAACAGGGCTGGGTCAGACAGAGACCATGGGTGAGCCTCAGTTTCCCCATCTGTAACGGAGGGCTGATGGTTCAGGATCTGAAGGACTCAGCGGGAGAGCAGGGGAAAGCCTGGCCTGGCTCATCAGAGGATGCCGACGTCCTAGCGGGTCATTGTGTCCCAGGGCTGGGGGGCCTGGCCGCCTCCCTGGACCCCGGCTCCATCCCTCTCTGCCCCAGCCCTGCAGGCAGTCCCTGTTAGGGCACCGAGCACTTCAATCACAGCGTCTTCCCCCAGGCGCGACGCCGGGAACTCCTGGAAAGCCGGGGAACTTCCACGAGCACCGTGAGTCAGCCCGTCCCGGAGCCAGACCCAGCGCAACGCCGCTTTGTACACAGACGGGAATTGGCGTCGATGGAGTGTCACTCAGCAGCCACCATTCGCTCCGAGCTGAGGCTCGTGGGGAAGGCTGCGCCCACGCACAGCCACAGGGAGAGCTCACTCGTCCCGGGCAGGCTGGGAACCCGACCGAGGGGCCTCTGCCTGGACCCACCCACCACTAACCTTCTCCGGTCCCATGCCTGGCTCCATCTGTCATTCGGGTCTCGGCTCAATGTCACCTCCTCCAGAAGCCTGACCCAACCCTCAACCTCAGGCCACCCCACCACATTTTACCAATAAAAACAATGGCACAGCTGAAACCGGTTGGCTCAGTGGATAGAGCGTCGGCCTGCGGACTGAAAGGTCCCAGGTTCAATTCCGGTCAAGGGCATGTACCTTGGTTGCAGGCACATCCCCGGTCGATGTCTCTCTCTCATCGATGTTACTAGCTCTCTTTAAAAAAAAAATCAATAAAAAAAAAAAAAAAATATATATATATATATATATATATATATATATATATATATGTATATTTTTTTTTTTTTTTAAGCGAGGGATGATCTTCCCCAGGAGCAGGAAGACAATGTTTTCCAATTTCCAAAAAAATAATGGAGACGGCAAAAACCCATCGACACTAACCCCAGGACCCAACAATGCCACTTCCGGGCCTGGTGCCCAAGAGAATGAGAAACGGGGACTCAGCTAGGTACTTGTGCACCCATTCGTCACAACAGCCAGAAGGGGGCAGCACCCGGAGCGTCCTCTGACAGAGGAGTGGATGTCCCACGGGGGCCCACCCACAGGATGAAACGTCCCCCAGCCTCGGAGGAAAGGGGACTCTGGCTCGCGCTGCAGCACGGACGGGCCCTGGAGACACTGCGCGGAGTGAAAGAAGCCAACCGCAGAGGGGTAAGTGGTGGAGGCCTCCACTTACGCGAGGCACTTAGAGTCTTAAAATCATAGCGACAGACGGGAGCGTGGCGGTTGCCAGGGACTGCGGGCAAAGAGACACTGGGACGTAGTGATTAATGGGGACTTCGCTTCGGTTCACAAGATGAAGGGCTCTGCAGATGGGGGGTGGCGACGGCCGCCCCAAAATGTGGGCATGCTGAATGCCACCCACTGACGTGTACACTTAACAACGGTTCAGATGGTACACATTCTAAGTTATATGTACTTAACTGCATATACACACACATATACTCACACACATACACACAGGAGTGAGTAGACAGGGGGCGTTACTGACCCAACACGGATGGGGGAAACACGATATTGGGGTCACTGTCCTCTCTCCACCGCCATTTAAATAAGAGTGGGGTGGGGTGCCGAAACCGGTTTGGCTCAGTGGATAGAGCGTCGGCCTGCGGACTGAAAGGTCCCAGGTTGGATTCCGGTCAAGGGCATGTACATTGGTTGCAGGCACATCCCCAGTAGGGGGTGTGCAGGAGGCAGCTGGTTGATGTTTCTCTCTCATCGATGTTTCTAGCTCTCTATCCCTCTCCCTTTCTCTCTGTAAAAAATCAATAAAATATATTTTAAATAAATAAATAAATAAGAGTGGGGTGATTTGCCCTATTTCACGATGAGGAAACTGAGGCCAAGGGAAGGAGCGGCAACTTGCTCTGCGTCAGAGAGCCAGGAAAGGGCCAACCTCTGCTTGCCTGGACATCCAACTCAGGTAGACACTCGTGCACCCATCATTCACCGCAGCCAACGTCCCCACACCCTCTCCCCCTCGTTCCCCTTCATCCAAGGGCAATGCCCAGAGGCCCAGCCTCTGGACACGGGTGGGGGGCCAGCCCCTGAAATAGGGGGTCCAGGAGGAAGCGCGGAGTTGTCAGGGGAAGGGAGCAGCGTAGGTGATGGAGATGCAGAGCTCTGAGGGGCTGGAGGCCGGGGAGACGGAGTGATGTGCACCGGCTTGCACTCGCCTGACCTGCTACTGTCCTCCCTCCTCCCGGGAAGCCCGCAGGGGCCCCATGTGCCCCGGCCTCCTGTCCCACCCCAGGGCCTAGCACAGCTTGGGGCTCCCACAGACTTTGGGGTTCCCAATGAGCCCAGGAACGACAGGTCCTGAGGTTCTGACCTGCCCCTCAGCCAGGAGAGGCCAGCCCACTGTCCTGAACGTGGTTCTGGGACAACACTCAAGAGGCAGCCACTGCCCACCGCCCCGAGGCCAACCCCGAGCAGCCAGGGAGCCAGGGAGCCGCAGAGAAGCCTGGCAGAGCCGAGAACACCTGCTCCCTCCCATCGCAAGGGCCCAAACCCACCCATGCTCCCCATCCCCCACGCCCCCCACACCCCTGCCCAGATCGACAGCGTCCAGGGGGGCCGTGGGGACTCCTCGGCCAGAGCTCCAACCAGCTGCTCTGCAGGGAGGAGCCCGTGTGGGAAGCTAGCTCCCCCTCTCCCCTCGCCCCCAAGGTCTGAACCACGACCCACTTCGCACCAGCAGGAGGCGGAGGGAAAGAGAAAGCAGAGTAGGAGGGGGAGGGAGTCCACGTCCCCTACTTGCCTGAACATCAAACTCCTGCAGGAGGCCGGTGATGGTCTGTGGAGAGAAGAGAGCGACGGTCAGTTTCACCAAGGTTCCTTCTCCTCCAAGCCCTGCGCCCGTATCGACCCTCCCTCCTCTGCACAGCCGCCCTAATCCCTTCCAAAGGGAGGCTTTTCATCTCAAACAACAGTCCTGCGGGAAAGGAGACACGTCAGCTGGATTCCTCTGAAACTACTCTGCTGCCTTGGTATAAAAAACGATCTGAGGGTCCCAGCTGACCACAAGCCTGTGAGAGACAAGACCGTCGTCATTACCTGTGACCTGGTCTCCAGGCCGCCGCCCTTGTGCTACACTTTTAAATCTCAAGCCAGACCGTGCCCCTCTCCTCGCATGTCCTCCCTGGCGGCCCGTCTCCAGGATGAAAACTCAGTCTCTCGCGTGGACACGGAGAACAGAGACCTCTGCACGTTGCCCTCGATCCTCCAGTTCTGTTTCTAGCCCACACCCCATCTCGCACCAGAGCTATCCAGATGTGGAGCACGCACGGTGAACAGCATGGGCCTGTGGACAACGGCCCACCACCTGTTTTTGTCAATAAAGTTTTATTGGAACCCAGCAGGCCCATTCACTTCCATGTTGCTGTGGCTGCCGCCTTCCTGCTATAATGGGGAAGCTGAGTGGTTGCCATGACGGCATGGCCCGCAGAGCCTGCAGCAGTTACTACGTGACCCTTACAGAACAGGCGTGCGGACCCTGAGTGTGAAATCATAACAAGGGCTTGGCAGCTTCTAAACTCAGCTGCCACCCTCCCCACCCCCCCAAGCCCCCCGCCCGGGCAGCTGCCCTCCCATCAGAGGTCAGTGTCTGTGTCTGTACAACACAGAAGGGAAAGCCTGTGACAGCATCGGCCTAAACCAGAGCGGCCATCCCCAGCGCCACCAAGGGGCCGGGTGAGCGGTCCGTTCGCAGGGGCAGCTGGCCTGGAGTGGCTCCAGGTCCCGTGCCCAGAGTAACTACGTGACCGAGGACAAATTAAGCTCCTCGAGACTCAACTTCCTCTTCTGTGAAACAGGAACAGTCCCAGAACCCCGTTTCCATCCGGCTGTTCGCACGAGAGAACCCGTGGGGCGCGGTGGCCCGGGCACACAGCGGGGCCTGGCCTTCATGCAAATTCCTGCTCGAAGAGCATCTGGTCGACCTTAGAACAGGTTTGGGGACCGGATGCCCGAGGGCCGTGTAAGGCCCTGGAAAGCATGTGGTCTGGCCCTGCCAAGGCACTGGGGTGAGTTCACTAAACGCTGCACCGAACAGAGCAGGCTGATTTTTAAGCTGATCATTCTGTAAGGCCCGAGAATGATGTGATAAATATCCAGGTGGCCTTGGGGGAAATGGTGCCCACCCCTGCCTTAGGGTCACTTCCCTTCCTGAACTTCACATTTTTGAGAAGAGGCATCGTCACAGGCAGTTTTACCGCTCGGTGAGAGCTGGGAAGGGAACACAGCTTAAAACACGATGTCACTCTCACACCAAGTGTAAAGGCTCATGGCATTTCCATAAATGTAAATGTCAGAACGGCCAGCCCAGGAGGGAGCTGCCCTCTCGGCCGCAGGGCAGGCCGGCTCTCTCTGGGGCAGGCCTGGCTGACGGGAAAGGTTTGGCTGAGAAGATGATAAGAACTGACACAGCAGGAGCTCCGGAGCTCAGCTTATCTCCTCCGCCAGACGAGGTTCGAGGTCCGAGCTGCTTTGTATCGGCGGCCCACGCCATCCTCACCGGGGCCCAGGACGTAAGGCCCAGCGCCACTGGCGTAAAGCCGGGAACTGGAGCATAAAGGCGGAAGCGTTTGCCAGCAGTGGACACGGAGCTGACGAGGGTCACGGCCAGCACCGGGGGGTGGGGGGGTGACCTTCACCTCAAAACAAGGGGGCAGACAGGGCCTGAGGGCAGTGGGCTTCCGGCCGCATGTTCTAGAACCACAGATGTCAGAGATAGGGGGCGCCACGAGGAGCTCCAGTTCAAGGCCCTTCTTTGCACACGGGGTCAGGGAGGTGTGGGCAGGGGCCGGGCCCGCAGCGCCAGAGCACGCAGAGGCCATGCTGGGCCTGAAATGGCACCTTTGTCCCTCTGCACACCTGGACAAGGAGACCCGGGAAAACAAGGAAGTCGTGCACACGTGTGTGCCTGTGTTCATGCTGTGCACACGCATGTGCCCTTGCATGGCTGTGCATGGGACAGGGAGGGACCAGGAGCATCTCCACTCACCTCCCCTTTCTCCACCAGAGGCTTCACCTCAGCCAGGTCCACGTCCTGCAGCTCCCGAGACATGTCGCTGCTGTCACCTGCCTAGGAGGGGACAAAGGCCAGGAGTCAGCACTTCCTGCTGAGGGATGGTTCCGGAAGGAAGCAGATCCGGGGCTAGAAAACACGCCCTCATTCTGCCCCACAGCTTCTACCTTCTGCACCTGTCACCACGCCCCTCCCACAGGTCACCAGGCCCCTCCTACAGTCACCAGGCCCCTCCCACAGGTCACTGCCGTCCCCCCCATACCCACATCACCACCACAGCCTTCCCCGAGACAGAACTGAGGCTCATGGACACAACCACCTTTCTATTAATAATGAAACAGACAGATGGATTCTTAAAACCAGTCCTCACATCTAGTCCGCCCCCACCACCCGATTTCTCGCTGCACTTTGCAAGGAGACCCACACCCCCAGGTTGACACCCAAAGGGCACAGGAGGTCACAGGAGGCCCCCCATGTGCAGGCATGGCACACACTTCCTCCTCCGTGAGCCTCCGAGTGTCCCCAGCAAGGGGCCTGCCAGGCTGGAGGTGGGATTTTCAAACGAAGGAGCCAAAGCAGCTGGGGTGGGGCCAGAGGAGGCCCCGGGGCTGTGGCACGGCAGGAGCAGAGGACAGAGGGGACAGCGCAGAGCAGGGGAGGCACAGGATCCCGGAGGGTGGACCTGCCGTCACCCCCGCCCCAGGAGCCGGGCTGAGGCGGGGCGGGCACTGAGCACACACACGCCCGGAGCTCGGTCTGGGAGCTGGAGATATAAACGTTTTGTATTCTCTCAGATAACGGGCAGTGAAGCCCCCACCAGCACCAGGCGAGGCACAAAGGCCCGGAGCGAGGGTGAGCCAGGCACGGAGGGAAGCGGCAGGCGGCCGGGTGTTCCCCTCACAGACCTGGCCTCCTGCATCTGGACCGACCAGCAACTTCCCACACAGCTGGCCGGCGAGGCCCCCACTGTGGGCTCCAGAGCAGAAACCCAGGCCCCCAGCTCCCCAGGGCCCCACAGACGCCACGCCGGAGAGAGTGCACCTCTGACACCCCAGCCAGGTGGGCTGGTGCAAGGCCTGGCCCCGGGACCCCCAGGCCCTCCCAGCGAGGCCTCTCCCAGGTCAGCCAGCAGCACAGCCCGGCCGCCTCTCCCGCCCCAGGCGCTGACACATGGCATTCTGAGGCAGATCCCCTGCGACGGTCTGGTCTGGGGACCCCCCCCCCCCCCCCCCCGTATATAACTCCCCCCAGCCCATCACCGGCCCCACAAGAATGCCTTTATGCAGCCTTTGGAGTCCAGGTTCCAGAACATTCCGAAAACAAAGTCCGTTTTATGTCTGCGCGCATTCCTGGGCCGCGGCCAGCCCGGAGGCCAGAGGCATGAAAAGCCGAGGTCGGACGGCCTTGCTAACTCAGCATGTCCGTGGTCCCGAGACCCTGGCCCCACGGCCACCTCGCCTACGCCGCCCAGAGAGCCTTCCAGAAGCCCAGGCAGCGCCGCCCCTCCTGCAGAGAGGGGCAGGACCCAGGGTGCAGGGAGGGCGGGCCGGGCCCTCCGCCTGGGTCACTGCCCCCCTGCCCATGGCTGCCCGCACCGGGCAATGGGCAGAGAGACAGCTGGCTGCCCCGTCCTGCCAAGCTGGGCCGGGTGAAGGCCAGCACCTGCCCTATCTCAGTTGCCTTGAACTCTGCAAACGTGTGTGTTTTCTGAGGCTGTTTGTCTAAAGCAAACCTTATAAGGAAGTTCGATATAGAAAAACAGATTTACATACACCCTTCCCCATCCCCCCCCCAAAAAAAAACGGGGGAGGGGGAGCAGACATGCTTTGGATGAAGTGCGGGGGGGGGGGGAGGGGAGAAGCTTAACACTCCCAGCAGTCCTGGCTCCCCCTCTCTCCCACCTGCTCCTACCCCATGAGCCAAGACCTGGCCTCAGAGACCCCTGGGGTTCCGGAAGCTCAGTTCGTGCTTCCTGGGCCAGACCCTCGTGTGCCCAGCCCTGAGCGAAGCCCCGTAACAGACTGTGGACGGGGCCCCGCCATGTGGCAAGCTGGGGCATGGCCACGAGCCAGCAGCCCCAGTCCTGCCTGCGGAGCTCCCATCTCCTGGGGCAGGTACGCCCCTGGGGTCCCCCGCACCGCCCACTCAGGGCCAGTCGGGACGGGCTGCCCCACGAGGCCACTGTCCTACAGGCTGGGCAGACGTGGCCTCCGTGACCGCCATGTCTCCAGGGCACCATTCCCCACCCCGGCCTGCCCACCTGGCTGGGGGACACTCTTGGAGGCGAAGGCTGGAGCCGCACGGCAGGGTCAGCAGCCCCTGGCCGTGACCCCCAAGTGCCAATAATGCACACACCCTCCCTCCCCACCCCGGGGAGAACCTAAACATCCGGGCACTTTGCCAAATGCCCTCTGGGGACAAAACCACTGGTTAGCAAACACTGGCCCAGGGCGGCCCCTGGTAGGAATGCAGATATCTGGTGGATCGGACTCTTATTCAATCCCGTGTGCCTGCACACCCACTCACACACTCTCACACGCACTCTCACCCACTCACACACTCTCACACTCACTCTCACCCACTCACACACTCTCACACTCACTCTTAAACACTCTCACACTCACTCTCACACACTCACTCTCACCCACTCACACACTCTCACACTCACTCTTAAACACTCTCACACTCACTCTCACCCACTCACACACTCTCACACTCACTCTTAAACACTCTCACACTCACTCTCACACACTCACTCTCACCCACTCACACACTCATACTCACACACTCACACACTCTCACACACTCTCACACTCACTCTTAAACACTCTCACACATACACTCACACACACATACACTCACACACACACACTCACTCTCACCCACACTCACTCACTCTCACATACTCACACTCTCATGCACTCACACTCACACACACACACACACACACACACACTCACTCTCACATACTCACATTCACTCTCACACACACACTCACACACTCACCCTCACACACTCTCACTCTCACGCACTCACACTCACACACACTAACACTCTCTCTCTCTCTCTCTCTCTCTCTCTCACACTCTCACACACTCACACCCTCACACACTCACACACCGGCCAGCTGCAGGTTCTGAGGACCAGGCTGAAGTCCCAGGGGAAGGAGGCATGTCACCAGAGGGGTCAGCACAGGTGGGCGGCCGGGATGGAGAGGCCGCTATGGGGCGTCACACTCTTACTGCTGCGTCTCGCTCTCCCTCCAGAAGGGTGGCTGCGGGTTCAAACCCACGACCCCAAGACCAGGAGGCCCACGGGAAGGAGCAGGTTTCACATAAACGCTGCCTGGTAGGCAGGGCTGATCTCCTTCACCAGGAGGGAGGGCCAGAGGGGGCTGCCTGGTTCGGGGTGCTCCCTTGATGGCCCCCTCCCATCGCCCACACCCGGGGGTCACCCCCCGCCGCTCACAGCCCTGCTCGCTCAGCAGGCTCTCCCCTGGGCAGAGGCTGAGCGCTGGATGCCACTGCCCACCCCCCTCACCGCCTCCTGGAAAGTCCCAGCCCAGCATGTCGGCTGAGAAGGGCCAAGGTCATCGTCGTTCAGCAGACAGAGGCAAGGCCCGGCCACACGGGCGCCGTGGGTAGGAGCACAGATGTCCCCTCCCGGCCTCCCGCTCCCGGCAGGAGGGTGGACGTGCGGTCCCTCCAGGAAGCACAGGCCGAAGCCCCTCCGGACAGCGAGTGAGTCAGGACCAGGCTCCTCCCGCCAAAACCCACTCAGTGCCAAAACCAGGCCCACGTCACCCTGCCAGCGGCCAGCCGGGATCCTATCACCACGTCTTCCTTTCGCTCTCTCACCGCCCCCGGAAAAAATTCAGAGAAAACCAAAGTGGCAGGGGCCAGGAGCGAGGGGAAGCCTGGAGGGTCAGACCAGGCTGTCATCAGTTATCTGTGATTCTCACCAAGCTAGCTGACCTCTTAGCCTCGGTTTGCTCATCTGTAAAATGGGCCTAAGCAACCCTGCTCCCAGTGAGCACCAGGAGAGCTTAAATTAAACACCGGCACAGAGAACCTGCTGTATAGCTGCTCAGTGAGCCTGTGCAGGGTCCCTTCCTGGTCGCTTCAGAGTCCAGTGGCCTCTCTGCGGGCACAGCCTGTGCTTCCTATGCCGTCAGCCCCACAGAGAGCCAGCAAAGACGGGGGGGACAGAGCAGACGCCTGGCAAATGCCAGGTGGGTTTTCAACCATCAGAGCCGATGCCACCTCGGGGGTCTCCTCTCCCTCAGCCACGCTGGGCCCTAAGCCAGGAGGGCCCAGGGGACTCTCCTCAAGGAGCTGGGCCTCCGGGTCCCACGGGAAGCCAAGCCCGGGATTTGCCATGACCCTGAGGACCGAGGGCAGCGGGCAGAGGCACCTCGGCAAGCTGAGGCCGCATGAGAGCCGTGAGGACTGTGGGGAGAGGGACACAGCCCGCCATTCTCAAAGGCCGAGGCGGGGGGTGGGGGTCAGAGCAGCAGGAACCCTGGCTTGGGAGTCGGGCGTGGGAACGCGCCACCCTCTCGCCACATGACTTTGCCCGTGGCATTCATGCCCATCTGTGAACTGTGCAGCCTGTGCTCCATGCCATCACATGGTCCGTGGGAACCGTGGACAAAGAGGTCACGCACACGGGTCTCACGAGGGCCTGGCCCGCTCGGCGCCGCCCGGATCTGCCTGGAGGTCCCTGTCCCGCTCCTGACCGCGGGCCCCTCGCCGTCTGAGAGACGGGAGCCTCCCTCCAGCTCGGGCACTTCAGGGCACACGCCTAGGGCACCCAGCTAGGTCCATGGTTGGCAAACTCCGGCTCGGGAGCTGCGGTTTGCCAAACACTGCCTTAGGACGTGGGTGCCGGTGTGTGTGTGTGGGGGGGGGGGGGGCAGCCTCCAGAAGTCCCCTAATGAAGCAGAGGCGAGGGCGGGCGGGACTGCTGACACCCTGTGTCCATTGTGACGGTCAGCACCAGCCGGCTTTGTCCGCCGTTTGGAACTGTTTCCAGCCACAGTTCTTTCCAGCTCACTG